ATGGCTGCTGGCATATAAACAAACCCCAGCAAGAAACATCAATACATTCCTGGCCCCCAATCAATTATGCTTCCGGGATGTGGAGAAAATATTTAGCAGAGTGTGTGGATTGCTTTTATGAGCTACCGTGGATCTATGTAAAATGTCTATTCATTAAGACTTTTTTTTTCTTTGAGTGGGACAGTGTTGTCGTTCTTGCGACTGGAGCACACGAGCTCAAACCCGAGCTGACACATCGACATTCGTGCGCGCTCGGAAATATTCGTGAAAAGTCGGTACAATGATGTAACATTTAACCTCTCATGAAGTACAGACAAAAATGAACTCTTGCGTCGTCGAGGCAAGAAGGACATGGAGATAGTACAACCGGATAGTACAACTGGAAAGAAGCTGTTCCTTAATTGAAAGTTAATGCAAACTTTATTGGTACACTATAATTAAATAATAATACTTAGGTAACATTTACTAGCCAAGTAAAAACTATACATGTTCTCATTTGTGCATTACAGCTACCGTGCACTGGCTCAAGATGTTGGCTTATGTCGGTTGCAAACAGAGGAAATATGCTACTTTGGCTAACAGTCAAAAAACAAACTGCCCTCTGAAAAAGAAAACCGTATAAAATCCATAAGAGGAGATTTAAGTCTTAACATTAATACAATTCACAAAATAAATAAAATGAACTTCAAACTATGTCAATGAAAAACTACTGTACTACATTAATGAATCACCTCACCGGCTGATCTCCCCCAAAATACTCTGTCTCCACAGCTACAGTGTGGAGTTTGTCCACTAAACAACAGACACTTCCCTCAGGGGTGTGATCGATAACCTAAACTTTTTAATGTTAGCATTTTGTACCCTTTATTTTGAAAATGCGTATTCGTGTTTAGTCATTAGAGGAAAATAAAACGATATTTTAGACTAGCAGTTTAAATGCTTGCACAGAGGTCAAACTTTCGCTTCGTTAAAGGTTTTGATAACCCCTTCTCCCAGGAGTGGCTCCGTCCTCCATTGTGACGTAGCTGAATTTTGTCTGAGGCTCGGCAGTTGGCACAGCAGCCCGGCTGGAGACGCCATTGTCGGCTGTAAGGGGAAGACAGACGGAGGGGGTTAGTGGGAATATTTGTTTTTATTGCCGGGGGTTCTTCTTTTTTTAAACAAAAAAAAAAACTAAAGAAATAAAACACTTTTTGTGTTTTGAGTTGGTGTGACCTGCTCCTCATTTCTTCGGCAACCATGGCGTGTGGAGCTACATTAAAGCGGTCGATGGAGTTCGAGGCCTTGCTCAGCCCCCAGTCCCCGAAGCGACGGAGGTGCAACCCGCTGCCGGGCAGCCCGGCCACTCCGTCCCCGCAGAGGTGCAACCTCCGGGCGGCTACGGACAGCCCGCAGCACTCGATACCGCCTCAGCCGATGGGAGGAGAGCACAGGCTTACCCCAGGTAGGATGCGGGAGGGGTGTATTTGGGTGGAAAGAAATCGCGGGAGGGGGAGGGTAAAGTGAAATGGCGATGGGGGTGGGGGGCGAGGCGGGGGTCGTGTACGGTGTACGCGGGTCTCTGTCAACGCTCTCGGCTGAAGCGGCGAGCCATGCCCGCACACTCCCGAGCCGAGCCCTGCCCGGCGATCGCCTCGTCTGCCTTGGCTCGGTGCACAAGCTGTGATTGATCAGTCTGGCGAGATTTCGCTCCCTCACCCCCCCCTCCTCGTCCTCCTCCTCCTCCTCCTCCTCTCTCTCCCTCCCTCCTCTCCCCTCCAGCTGGGAAGTCATCTGGGAGAGATGGGAAAGAAGGCGCAGCCCAGAGAGAAGAACCCGAACCGGGAAAAGATCGCGCTTTGCATTTAATGGGGCACGGCGGGGAGTTGGCAGTTTTCCTGGCAGGTGTTGGCGGGTGAAGGGAGGGAAAAAACCCGAGTGAGCTGATCGCGGGTCCCGGAGCAGCTCTGCCCACCCCCGCGCCCTGAGCCCCCTCAGTCGGGCTGCTGTGTGCACTTTTCCAGTCGAGGGGGTTGGAGCACCGGGCTTGAAACTTAAAACCGCGATGCCTTTCCCTCGGTTGTTTTGGTTCAAACCTCCAGTTCCGGCGTATTTCAAAAGTGAAAGCGACCCAAGGCGTCCGGATTTGGGAAATCTGCACTGTCGGGCTCCCCCCCCCCCTCCGTGCAGGAAAACAAAAAAAAAATATATCCCGTCTCTCAGCCCGAGACAATCTGGTTAAAACGGATCGTCATGTGTTTTTTTTTTAACCTACATAGGACTCGCAAGTGAAAGCTTGCACTAGGAAGTCCACATGCCCGAACGGCATGTGAAAGCGCCGCTGCCCCCCGGTTTGTCCGCCCGTGTCTTAACGCCTCGCAGACGGAGCCCCTGCCGCGGCCGAGCGCTCCTGCCTGGGTGTCGGCGGGGCCTGGTGGGGAGGGGGGGGGCAGGAGTGGGTCTCTCCCGCTTCCTGGTGCGCTCGCTCGCTCGCTCGCCGAGTGTCGCACTTGAAATTCGGACCATTTCAAGAGCCGGCTGTGTCGTGAAGGAATCGCGACGGCCACGGGAGACAGAAAAAAAAATAAAAGAGCTGGCACTTTTGTTCTGTACACCACCCTCCCCTTGCTAAAACCGAAGGTTTTATCTTGAACGCCATTGCTCGGGGAACCGAGAGTCCCTCGGCTTTTAAAACGAGCTGCCCTGGATCCTGTTAGCGGTTAAAGCTGTGGTGAAATGTTTCTGTGAATTATCGGCACCCGGCTCCCAAGGCTGTACATGTCTTAATCCAACACACGGGAGGTTTGTGACTAGCTAATCACAAGACTCTTGCTTTTCCTGTTACCAAATTGTCTGGTGTTCTGATAGCGGCGTAGCTGTTTGTCAGTATCGCCTTACTTTGGATTTCTACTGCCACTGCATTGTTCGTTGGTGTTTTTTCTACCTCATTGCCCACACGCTATAAAAAGCAACCTCCTGTGAGAATTCAATAGACTGGAGGCCTCTTGAGCTATAGCTCTGCTGTAAGAGATAATTACTTGGGTTTTAATGTTGAAATCCTGGAAAATAAATTGTACTTGACTCCCACTGCTAAGAGGTTTGGCAAGTTTGGTAAATGCTTATTTCAACCTAAAAGATCTCAAATGAATGACTTCTTTTAAGTATTTCAGGACTGTAACTGTTTATGGAAGTGTCCGATTTTCTCCTTCAGTGTTAATTAGGGTTATTGGTTTCTATGTGTTCTGTAAAGTTGCTTATTTAAGGAGCTTTAAAACTTTTAATACCCTGTAAAGCAGAATTAAAGGCATCTTGAGAGCAAATTAAAATGCAGCTGAGGTGTCTCTTTTGGACTGAGCTCATAGCACAGTTCATAGCGCCTAGTTTGGGGGTATCCAGGCTTAATGAATATACAGGTCAATGTGCAGAGATCTGGAAAGCACACTTGCTGATCCAGTAGAGACATTCAGAGCTCATCTGGAAAAAGAAAACCTTTTCTCTCCAGGAGCAGGGTTGAACTCTCATCTGTTAGTATAACAGAGCTCTGTCGGACATCCTGTAGATTTGGACTAAGCAAAGCCTTTAGTTTGCGGTCATCGTACTGCAGAGGATTCATATAAATCTGAGGCCAAGTCTGCGTTTTCAGTTCTGCATGTCTTTTTTTTTCCATGTGTATTTTGTGAAAGACAGATCTATTAGACAATGAAGATCGCCAGTTAGAACTTCAGTGAGAGACTAGGATGATTTTTTACAAATAAAACGGGAAGCACGGCCTTCTTGGTATGATACAAATCCTCATGCTGAGACAATTACTTTTGTAATGAGAAAAATGTCACCTCTTAGTCATCGGAGTCAGAGAAAGGTTTAACTTGGAGCAGGAATTTTTAATTGGTATGCTATGAAGTAGTTAAATATCCAAATATATGATGTAAACCAAATATTAGAACAGCTGGCCGTGTCAGCACAGCAAAAGCATTGCTGTGTGTGCAAACTGTCACTTATTGTGACCCTCTTTTGTGTGTTTGTTTTACATAATAGTCTCTGTGGACTAACCATCTTGTTCAGGTGTTACCTTAATAGAAGGCGCCTTGTTTTTTCAGTCTTCCCAACTGAATTTCTAGTGCTGAAATGCATCTGTAAGTGTCTCTTGTAGTTTATTTTTGGTCAGAACATTTGTTTAAATCCAGCTGTAGTCAAGTTTTGGGTTGGATCACAGTGCATCTGCAGTTTCTTCATGGCAAAGGAGAGTCATGCATGGCACAATATTGACTGACCATTTTGAGAGCTCAGTTACTTTGCTGCTTGATAGCCGCTCCTTGACGTGTTTAACTGTTTTGTAATAAAGGCCACTACTGAGTCTTGTGTGAAATAAACTGCAGGGAAGGAGCTGCCAGTGAAGATAATTCAAGCTGTCACACACTGCACTGTCAGTGGAAGGGATAGCGATGAAGAGTATAGCCTGATATATTCTTTGACACATGCAGCAATATTGTTTTGCTGCACTGTACCTTTTAACATGGTTTGTAAAGAAATTTGAAGCCTTGTTTTGGCCTATGTTGTGTAAACAGTCTAGCTGTTACAAGCTCTTTTTTGACAGTTAGCTGTAGTTTTGTGGTTGGTAAACCATGCTGAAAATGAGGGCTTTGTTTACTGTTGATAGTTTTACATAGTAGAAGTAAAGTTTGAAAGTGTTTGCTGGTCCATGCTATGCTTGGCCTTGTGTCTTGAGACAGTATTGACAATGTTTAGTTTGCTAGTTTTATTTGGAAAAACATGACTTAGTATAACATGCATTGGTGTCATTGAAAGTGAGCATGGAAATGGAGAGGATCTACATGTAGGATGATGAATGGCAGAGATGTCTTTACATTTAGGGTTGTAGGTGTCTGTAACAAAGTATCCTGTTATTCTGCTGAAGCAGATTCCCTGGCAATCCATAAGGCTCTTTGGATTAGTAGCATACTATAAACCAAAAAAGCCAGTTAGGCCTCTAAACGGTAGAAGACAGACTTGCTAGTAGTTATTGAAAGTGTCCCTTGATGTTCTACTTTATTTTCCACATTGTGTTTTAGAACAGATGACTGAATGAAAGTCCTAAGGTGAGAAATCTGCCTTAGTGGTGATGTATTTTTTTTTCTTGTTGCGAGGGTCATTTTTCACAATAAACCCATCACACATCCTTTAAGTTGGAAAGATGCTCTGAGTGCCAGTGGTTTGATTGGCTTTGGGATGTGTGAACATGAGGCTGATACAAGTTGTGAAAATGAAGTAGAACAGGAAACGGATATTTCCACAACACTTCTATGCAGTAAGGTAACAGTCAGGAGATAATCCCATGTCTGTTTACGCAGTCCACAGCTCCTGTTAGAAAAGTTGTTTTTTATATTAAATATGCTCTTCAGTATCTGCACACCCTTGGCTGCTGGGAAAAAATGTGTGGTTTAATAATGTGATAGAGAAGACAGGACTTCAGGCAAAGAAAAAGCTCATCCTTCTGAGTTCTGACATAATAGTGGTTTAGGATTAATTTCTTTGTATTTGTTTTTTTTTTCATTGTCTAGTGCTTTAATGTCCTGAGTGATTAATGTGTATAACCAGTGTGCTTTAAAGTCCCCCTCCTCTCCTTTGGACTCAGGTGTATTAATCAAAAGAACCTTTAATTCTTGCCTGCGTGCTTCAGGTCAGAACTTTTCAATATTTGACCATTTCCACCTTCCATGGTGAGAAGTGGCCTGTGTAAAGGATTAGTTTGCAGGGTGTTTCAGTGAAAATCTGCACATTAAAGCATAACTATTACCAAATTAAACTGCAAAAAACAACTTTCCTGCTTTAGTACTAGAATTGCAATGCTGAACACCTCCCTTTCATGTTAAGGTAATTTAACCTTTGTTGCAGATGAAGGCTATAGTAAAATTTTCATGAAAAAACGTGGCATTTTCCAAACCCACGGCTGATAAGATCTGTTCTGCTAATGTGTTGCACTCCTACACTGTGATCAGGATAGGGGCAGGAGCCAGTCGACTTCACTGCAGTTGACTTTGTGTTCACATCTTGAACATGGAGCATGAAAAGCATGGAAACTGTCTTTAATGCTTAGTGCATCTAGGTATTGGGTATTTGGGGTTTTTAACATGTAGAGTGGAAGAGGTGACATGGTTGCATTTCCTTTTAATCGTTTCTACAGTATCTAGGTTCCCGTGTACACACTTATGGTATTGTGGTTTGCTTTACTGCTCTTTCTCTTACAGCTATCGTTGAGTACAAGGAATAAGGCAGTTTAGTTTGCACCATCTGATGCAAGTCAGTCATTCTCTGCTCTTGTGTTGGGAGGCCAGCCTTACAGAATGCCTTTTCCTGCAGGTGGATTTGAAAGTTGGAACGGTTACTTGCTGGAAAATATTTTGCATGTGCCAGCATGTTGTATCCTTTTTAACTTATTTTAGGAAATATTTGGCAACTAGCTGTTCT